GATGCAATAAAAACAAAACAATCATTTATTAGTAATGTGTGTGAAAGTACTTTTTAAACAGAAAAGCACCATACAAATGTAATGTATTATCTACATTTGTCATCATTTCCTGAGAATAGCTATTGAGAAATGGTGATGTTTAATGTATACTATTACATGGTACTCAGAAAAAAATAAAACCCTGAGTCTTCTTCCTGAAACTCTAAAGAAAACATCAAAGAAGATAACACATCTGTGAGAATTTTAGCTAAATTAGCCCCAAATAAGGCTGTTTGTCAAAGACAATTTTTCTCCCACTCTCTTTACCTCAATTTGCATCTCTTTTAAAAATATTTTGAGCTGACCCAGGCAATTTCTGTGAGCCATCTTCAACCCCAGCTGTATGGAATGCGTCATCATTCAAGAGCTGAGGCAAGAGAAGGCTTCTGTGGCAGATGGCTGAGCACAGAGGCCGAGTGTCAAGGCCTTTCTCTATGAAGAGGAAAAGGATGTTTTAACCTAAGAGGGGCCAACCTGGTAACCCAAGAGAAGTTGAGCCCTCCTTATGTTAAGAGTAATAACTGGGAAAGAGGCATTTTTTTTTTTTTTACCCTCAGTGGCTCCTGCTATTACCTAAAGCTACCAGAAAAAAGACAATATGAATGAAAATAGTTTTGTTTATAATGTTTCAGTTACTGATTTTGTAATATGTCTCATTCTTGTATTAAGGGGTTGTATATATTTATTTCATATGAATGACATGCTCATTAGTCTATCACTGATGTGATTTCTTTTTCAGTTTAAGGCTAAAGTGTAAATGTGTTATTCTTTTTTAATTCCAGGAAGAGAACATATAAATATTATTTTGTAATTTATTAAAATATGCAGTTACCCTATTTCTTAGAATTATTTAGGGTATGGCTTGGCTCTATTCATTGTTAATAGCACCAATAGATGTGCTTGGTTTTATTTATTTATTTATTTATTTATTTTTCAGTACTGGGAATTGGAACTCAAGGGTGCTTTACCACTGAGCTACATCCCCAGCCCTCCTACCACCACACTTTTTTTGGGGGGGGGGGTACCAAGGATCAAACCCAGAGGTGCTTAATCACCAAGTCACATCCTCAGCCCTTTTTATATTTTATTTTGAGTTAGGGTCTCACTAAGATGCTTAGAGCCTCACTAAGTTGCTGAGGCTGTCTTTGAACTTGCAATCCTCCTGCCTCAGCTTTCTAAGCCTCTGGGATTACAGGCATGCACCACCATACCAGCTCCCATCGCTTTAAAAAAAAAATATATATATATATATTTAGATATGCCCATCTAATATATATATTAGATGGGCACAATACCTTTATTTTGTTTGTTTATTTATTTTTATGTGGTGCTGAAGATAGAACCCACTGCCTCACATGTGTGAGGCAAGCGCTCTACCACTGAGCCACAACCCCAGCCCCATCCCATCCCTGTTTATATATTATTTTGAGACAAGGTCTCGCTAAATTTCTGAAGCTGGCCTTGAACTTGTGATCCCCTACCTCAGCTTCCCAAGTAGCTGAGAATACAGATGTGTGCCACCATACCAGGTTCTTTTTTATGCAATTTCAACGATATCCAGGTACTGCAATGCATGATCTCTAATGCAATTTATGTGGAATTTTGCTCAGTGAATCAAAACTTTACCAAAAATTGAGTATAAATTCCCCACCAAGAATATTAGCCTTTTAGCTGTCATTGTCTTAAGATTTGAATGGGACAGAAGTCTTATTGAACATTGACATTTCTAGTACTACCATTATTCAGTGTGCCATTAGTTTGTTGTTTGGCTTATTCAATAAATCTTTATTAAGCACTTGCAGACAACACAGGGAGCTCACAATTGAGTAGAAGAGCCAGCTATGAACAGATCATTATATAACATGTGCCCAGTTCACTGAGGAGTGAACCAAGTGTGAAAATACAGAAGGGGACACCCAAGCCACCCTGTAAAGGAGGCAGCCTAGGATATCCCCTGGAAGAGAACATGTCCAATGTGAGGAAGAGTTAACTGAGAAGTGAGAGTAAGGGATCCTGGGATAATAAAGGGATGGTGGGGAGGGATGGTATTTCAGAAAAATATCATCCCAGTGTGTTTTTTTTTAATATTTTAATTTTTTTGTTATAGTTGTACACAATACCTATTTTTTATTAATTTACTTTTATGTGGTGCTGAGGATCAAACCCAAGGCCTCAAACGTGCTAGGCAAGCACTCTACTGCTGAGCCACAACCCAAGTCCCCATCCCAATGTTTTTTATGAACAAAGCCATAAAAGCAAAACACAGTACCCATGTGTGTTCACCATAGCTGCTTAAGGCTGCAGGGGCAGCACAATGTGTACTCTGAGGCCAGACTACCTAAGTTTGAATCCTGGTTGTCCTACTTGCTAACCTTGTGCCCTTTGGCATTTCAATTAACCTTGCTGTGCCTTTGACTCTTCATCTGTAAAGTGGGGATAATAATACCTACTTCATAGTATCATTTTGAAGATCAACATTACCACATTTGAAGGCACATAAAATTGTGCCTGGCACATAATAAGAATGATGTGGATGTCAGCTCTTTTTATTATAAAGCACGTGACAGAGAATGAGTGAAAAATAATCAGTCTAGAAAACTGGGCAATTGTCAAATCTTAAAGGTTTGGTCTTCCAGGGTAATGAGCTTGGGCTTCATGTTATTAATAAAAAGGAGTCACAAAAAAAATCTTTAAGCAGGGCAATGACATAAGACCATTTGTGTTTTTGCTGTATCATTTTGATTTTGTAGAAGAGACAGCTGAGGGGAATGAAATGGACACGGACCAATCAATAGGCTGCTGCATAAATAGATGCCTGATTTAAGGTATTCACAGCAGGATGGATGGGAGGAGTGATTACATAAATATTTAAGAGGTTAAATCTGCAGAACATTATTGATTTGTTAGGAGAGATCATAAAGAAGGAAAAGTTGGGATTTATTTATAAAGACAAGAATTCAATTCAAAATTATAATAAAGGCAAGTGAGAAAATAATAAAATCATGTGTGTTGACATACAAAAATCTTTAAGGAAGCAAACTGTTTCATTTGTCTGTTACAACCCAGAGATAAGATTAACAAGATTACTATGGAGGGCTGGGGTTGTGGCTCAGTGGCAGAGAGCTTGCCTCGCACATGTGAGGCACTGGGTTCTATCCTCAGCATCACATGAAAATAAATAAATAAACAAAAGAAAGATATTGTGTCCATGTATAACTAAAAAAATATTTTTAAAAAGATTACTATAGCCTAGCCAAAAAAGATGCTGTCTCTTAACATTTTCAAATTCATCTTAAATGTCAGTGTATTTGCAGTTTTTCCACACGTCATAGAAATCGTAGTAATTGATCAGAGGTTCTATATCTATTCTTAATTCCAAATGTGTGTCTGACCCCCTTCCTGATAGTCTTATCTATTGATGTAAGTGATTGACTTGTTAAATGGGCCTAACTGCTTTATGTCACTTCATATTGCAGTCTGCTTCTCACTGCTGGTTTATAATCTTGCGTCTATCCCTGTGTTTGCTTGTCTAATGCACTCAGAAAGTATTTTCAGAGAATAATCTCCCATTTGGCTTGTGTCAAATACTTTTTTTTAACTGTGTTTTCATGAACAGATGTGCATGCAGATTCTCTTTTAAAAATACTTATTTTGAGTTTCATAACATAATGAGTCACTTTTAAAAAATCTCTTTTTTTCATAGCTGTTATCTAAAATAACTTTGCTTATTTGAGAAATAAAAACTCCCGGATATCTATATTTTTCAATTAATTCTGTCCTTCATGATCAAGAACAGGGGGAATGTCTGGCTCAGCAGAGGCCTCCAGGATTTGCTGCAGCACTATAGTCATTCTAACTGGTCAGTGCTGGCTCATTTTCATGGTTAAATATTTTGATTATCCTCATGGTCTAGGATCCTCCACAGCATTTTACTTTGGCAAGCAGGAATTGGTCTTAAATCGTTGTTCTATTGGATTCTTTCAGTGACAATTTTTGTTTTAACCTTTGTATTTTTTCATCCACTGTGTTATAGTTACTGAAAACAATGAGCCCTATTTGACAGTGGAGTAAGGTGAGTAAAATCTGCTTTAGAGGGAAGTAAATATCATCTAGGAAAATGGTTCTGCAATATGAAAGTATTTTGTTTACCTTACTCTACCAGAGTCCTAGGCAGGATAAGTATTTAGATGTTTTGGTAAAACTTTCAAGCTCATCTTTTCTTCCACACTATTTTAAAACTTTATAATCTATTTATTCTGTCTAGAAATTCAGGCTGTAAATTAACTAACTGCTCTTAGTACAGATTCCCTGATATTAGGAAATACTTAGAAAATTGATTAAATATATGTATATTTGTGTGTATATATATAAAAGTCAATTTTAATAACTGATATTTTGTAGTTTCTGTAAATACTGGTATATTGTTCTAACCTACTGGAGCTAGTAAAGGATAAAATAGCTATAATAAAGATCCTCAGTGCTTCCTTTTCACAAGGTTCTCTTTTTCCTGCTGACAGGCAACTATGTAACCTTTTTCAAAATAAGAATTCTTAGGCTGGGGTTACAGCTCAGTGAGGCTGGGCTTACAGCTCAGTGAGGCTGGGCTTAGTAGCTCAGTGGTAGAGTACTCACTTTGCATGTGGAAGGCACTGGGTTTTATCCTCAGCGCCACATAAAAATAAATTAAAGGCATTGTGTCCATCTAAAACTATATATATATATATTTTTTTTTTTAAAGAATTCTTAAAGTTTCCACTTAGTAAATCTTTAATGTTACTGTTCATTTTTGAGATGAAGTCTCACTCTGTGATCCAGCCTGGCCTCAAACTTCTGGGCTTAAACTATCCTCCCTCCTGTCTCAGTCTCCCAAGTAGCTGTGAGAACCTTCAGGCACTCACCTGGCTAACTCTACTCTTTGTATTACTTAATAGGGTATTTTTAATGTTTCCTTTTCCCTGCAGGTATTCTTGGCGTTACCAACTGAGGGAATTTAAAAGTGAATATAGAGTTGTCGCCCTGGATTTGAGAGGCTATGGAGAAACAGATGCTCCCAGCCATCGAGACAATTATAAATTAGACTGTCTAATTACAGATATAAAGGATATTTTGGACTCCTTAGGTAGGTTAGTTAAAAAAATATATTAATTATTTTTAAGGGACTAACATTCAACAAATTGCAAGTTGATGAGTTCTTGGGAGGATGTGTTTTCCATCTACCCTAGCTTTTATCTGGATCCTATCACCATGATTTTGGGTATATAGCCTGAAATATTTATACAAGAAATTTAAAATAATGCATCATGAATAAACAGTCACGAATAACTTTCAAATTTGTTATTACAAATAGTTCCCCAAAGGAAGAGAAGAAAGGTCTAAGAGGAGGAAGATGCTGTCTGGTAGGGAAATAAATAGATCTAATGCATACTGTTTATTATTTTCAGAACTATATTATTGAAATTTTGATTCCTGAGCTCATACCTTCAGAGCTCACACTTAAATATTTATTAAAAATATTATAAATATTATAAGATGTAGAAGCACTTGCATTACCTCTCTTGAATTGATCAGGGAATATCACAATAATATTGTATAACCACCCTAAACTCAGTGACAAACAGCCATAATAATTTATTCCTGTTTAGGGATCTGCAGGTCAACTGTAGCTGGATCTCTCTTGGTCTGTGCCTCAGGCTGCAGGTGCACCTGGGACTGGTTTCTCTCTGAGCTGGGCTTGGAGGTAGCCAAGGACAGGTGCAGGGGTGGAGGAATCTTCTCCTGGCAGTGGTAGAAGTGGCAAGAGTCTGAGTCCAGCTGCACAAGCATATTTCAAGTTTCTATTATCAGCCGATTGGCTAAAGCATGATATATAAAAGTATAGCACATGCAGTTTTTATGGTAGAATGCAAAATCAGGTCAAGCCACACTAAAAAAAGCAAATCACATGTCTAAGTTTAACATCAAAGGGCAAAAAAGTATACTTGCTTCTGTGGCAGTAAGGAGAGGGCAATAATCTAATCTACTACATTTCCTTTGACTAAAACCCAGATGTTACCATCAGTATGTTAATGGAAACAACATAGAGAAAAACACCATGAAATCAAAGGTCTTTCCTACAATAATCTAACAACAGAACAGATCAGACAAGTATTTTTAGAAAAGAAAAAAAAATTGGATGGGGTCTAAGGTATCAACATGAATGTTACATGCATGTTACATGATGTACAACATGTTATTATTGAGTCTAATTATAATAAAATAGCTATATTTTCAGATGATGATTTTTGAACAGCTGTATTTCATTCAGATTTTGTAATAATTCCGATCTGGCCTAAACTTGTCATCACAGATTTTCTAGCCAAATCAATATAAATAGAGGTTTTGTGTGTGTGTATGTTAGTGTAGTAATGGTGAGAAATACTTGAAAGAATCAATTTTAAGTACTCCAGGAATAAATTACAAATGATTCTTATCCATTTGTATAAGAGCAATCCTGTAGAAGTCTCTATTAATAATTTAACTTACTTCAGGGGCTGGAGTTGTGGCTCAGTGGTAGAGTGCTCACCTCGCACGTGTGAGACCCTGGGTTCGATCCTCAGCACCACATAAAAATAAATAAACAAAATAAAGATATTGTGCCCATGTATAACTAAAAAAAAATTAAAAAATAATTTAACTTACTTCATACTACTATAATGATTACATAAAAAGAAATTTATATAGTCGCATGCCAATTCATGCTGCGATACATTCTGAGAAATACATCATAGACAATTTTGTCTTTGTGCAAACATCAGAGCGTACTTCCAGAAACCTAGAGGGCATAGGTCAATCACTTAACATGGCCTCGTAATGCAATTAAGAGCTGTGACATATACAAGACATATGAGGCTGCTGCCAGCATAACACAGCATACTGTTTTACAATCATTTTTGTTTATAATTAGAGTCTATTCTAAAATAATGATTAAAAGTATAGTAAGTATATGAACCCATAACATGGTCATTTACTATTGTTGTCAAGTGTTACGTACCATACATGATTGATTGTGCTGCAGTACTTTCATATGACTGAGAGCACAGGTTTGTCTACCAGTATCTCCACAAACACAGGGCTACAATAGAACAGCTATGTCACTAGGTGACAAGAAATTTTCAACTTTACTATGTTCTTATGGAACTACCATCATATATGTAGCCTTCCATTGATGGAGCTCAATGGTTCCAAAATTGTCACAAATTTGAGCTTATATATAGTCATGTGCATGACTGTATATAATTGATGGTATAACTAAGACATTCCAATAATTCAGTTTGACTTCACACTTCCAAATTAATGACTTTTTTTTTTACTGTTTAGTTGTAACATTGGATTTGTGAAGTTAAAGAAAATAGATAATTCTTGAAAATAAATGTTTGTAAGTTGGACATAAATGAGTCATTTATGACTTTAGTATAACTAGTAACTTCTCAGCATTCAAAAACTAACCCAAATAATCTTGTTTATTATCTAATTATGTACAGTCTTTATCATGACTTCCATATTTAGCTCCATAAGACCAGAGCTGAGCTGGCTATTTCAGACCTTTTTTTTTTTTAAATGTAGATTCCTGGGAGAGATTCTAAATTTGTAGATCTAGAGTGGAGACCTAAGCAACTAAATTTTCTAAAAATCTGGCTAGGTAATTCCGATATACAGACAAATTTTGGAACCACTGAGCTCAAAATATATATAAAAGTGCATAATTTATAGGATACATAGGGTGGGAGGGTAGAAAGAATAGTTTCAGAAGTATAACTGTGTTATGTGACGTAATGATGCACCCACCTGTTTCTTTTCAAGGATGTCAACATTATTTCCTCCATCACAGGGTATAGCAAGTGTGTTCTGATTGGTCATGACTGGGGAGGCATGATTGCCTGGCTCATTGCCATCTGTTATCCTGAAATGGTGATGAAGCTTGTTGTTATTAACTTTCCTCATCCAAATGTATTTACAGGTGAGTTTGAGTTTTTATTAAGACATCTCTGCTAATGTAATAAGTTGCTATTGTCTCTGACAGTTTGGATTAAGAACAGAAAACTTTGGTTAACATAATCTTTTAAAAATTATATGACTGAGCCATGAGAGCACATGACAGTGTCAGATACCTTGGTTTGAAATCTTCCTGAAGGGCCTAAGAATATTTAACTTCCTATTTGCATGCATATTTTTATTCCTTTTTGGAAAAATTTTTACTGTAACTTGGAGAGGGATAATGGGGAAAATGCAGTGACATTACTTTGAAAGTAATGAATCCTGACAGCCTAGAAATAAATTCTACTCTTATCTGACTCCTTTGGCTATTAGAAATAAAGTATTCTTAAGCAGTAATTCTCTCTCTTTTTATATTATTTAATATTTTTTGCGGGGCTGGGGGTGGAACCCCAGGATGGAAACCTAGGCAAGCACTTTACCACTGAACCACACCCCCAGCCCTAAAGCAGCAACTCTCAAATTTTTAGTCCCAGGACTACTTCTTATTTTTTTAACTTTTAAAATTAGTACATTATAATTATACTTACAGTGATATTTGTTGTTATATATTTTCATGTGTACACATGAAATATAATTTGGTCAATTTCATTCCCATTTCATTTCCATTCATTCTTTTTTTTCTTTTTAGAGAGAGAGAGAGAGAGAAATTTTTTTAATATTTATTTTTTTTAGCTTTTTTGGCGGACACAACATCTTTGTTTGTATGTGGTGTTGAGGATCGAACCCGGGCCGCATGCATGCCAGGCAAGCACGCTATCGCTTGAGCCACATCCCCAGCCCCCCCATTCATTCTTTATACTCTTAAAATTATTAAAGATCCCAATACAATTTTGTTTATATAGGTTTTATCTGTAATAGTCACTGTAAAGAACTTAAAACTGACAAATTTTTAAAATAATTAGGTATTAATTTATTTAAAAACCCTATTACATGCTAACATAAATATCATATTTTAATGAAAACTAATTACAGCCTTCTAGTTAGTCTAAAACTACTAACTACACAAAACAAAATTTTAGTGAAGAAAGTTACTGTTTTAAAATTTTTGCAAATTTCTTTATATTTTTGCTTAGTGGAAGACAGCTGCTTTCTCATATCTGTGCCTTCATTCAATCTGTTGCAGTATGTTGTTCGAATTGAAGAAATGTGGCCTCAGATTTGTAACTGGAAAAGGGAGGAATATTTTAATAGCCTTTTCAGATAACTGTAGATCTTCTTCCTTAATACTACATACTTCAACATCAAAACTGGTGGTTTCTTGAAGGTTAGGAATCTGGAATATGATAGCATGAAAAGAATCTTTTCATATTCTGTTACATTAACATCCACTACTCTCTCAGCACCTTTTAGTGGTTTTGATGCTCGGGATTGAACGTAGGATGCTCTACCACTGAGCTATGTCCCCAGCCCTTTTTATGAGTCAGGGTCTCACTGAATTGTAAAGGCCTCAAATTTGTGATCCTCCTTCCTCAACTTTACAAGTAGCTGGGATTGCAAACATGTACCACCACTGTGTCTGTCTTTCTCTAGCACTTTGAATAGACCTTTTATCTATGCATAATTTTGTATCATCATGCATTGGAAGATATTGGTTCTGAGAGTTAGGCAGATCTTCAATAAGTAGACACATTTCATTATGTAATATCAAAAAATCACATCCATTAACATCACTCCAGTCTCATCAGGAAAATCCTTTAAGCGGGGCATAGTGGCACGTGCCTGTAAACCCAGCATCTCCAGAGACTAAGGTAGGAGTATCGCAAGTTCAAGGACAGCCTCAGAAACTTAGTGAGACCCTAAACAACTTAGCAAGATCCTGTCTCAAAATAAAAAGGGCTGGGGATGTGGCTCAGTGGTTAAGCATCCCTGCATTCAATTCCCAGTATCCCCTGCCAAAAAAAAAAAAAAAAATCCTTCAAGCCTAGCATAATGGCTCACATCTGTAATCTCAGCAACTCAGGAGGCTGAGGCAAAAGGATGGCAAGTTCCAGGCCAGCCTCAGCAACTCAGTGAAATGCTGTCTTAAAATAAAAAATAAAAGGGGTTGGCAATGTAGCCCAGCGGTAAAGGGCCCTGGGATCAATCCCCAGTGCCAAAACAAACAAACAAAAAAATCTTTAGTATTGCAAAACTTAAGCCCACAGTAGCAGGTGTAAGTTTTCCAAAAGTCTAATTTTCACTTGAAAGCTTGAATTTTATCAATGGCAAAAAAAAAAAAAAAAAAAAAAATACTGCTGATGGTTTTCCTTGAAGTGAACAGACTTATTTTGTTAATTTTCAAGAAATTATTTCCCAAATACTCATGTTTCAATGAGGACAGTTTGTCCTTCTTTCAAGTAAAAATGTATTCTATTAAAAAAAAAAAAAAAGCTAATTCAACTCACTAACTCAAGAAATTGCAGAAGTACTTTTCCTTGAGACAGCATTATATTGGGTATACAATAAACTACTCTATGTGTACTTTCTATTTCATCACATGTAATATTAAAAATATGTATGCTTAAAAGTCCAATCTAATAGAATTAATAATTTTTCCTATTTCATCAAAACCCGTTAAGTGGAACTGGCACTTGATTAAATAAATTAATTTATTTACTACAAGTGTTCAGTGGTGAAGAATACAACTAGTAGTATTTTTTAGTGCCAGCACCTTGATTTGTCCTAAGACAGCAGTGGTTTTATCCATCATAGCTTTTGTACCATTGTGCAAATTTCAATACAGTGGAAAAAAACAAATAATGTCTTAGCATTGTTACAAAATTGATTTGACCACCTCGATACTTTAAAAGGATCTTGGAGATCCCATATGAACTACTCTTTAGAACCTTTGCTTTAAAGACAACTCTCTAAGTCTTAATAGTGATTAACAACCTGTGAACAATGTCCAGGCACATTTTTATTTGGTTTCGGCAAAGAGTATATTATTGTCCTCTTTACCCTTGTTAGATTTTTCTGAGGATCCAGTACTGCTAAGACTCATAACAGCCTTTAGGAAGCAAAATTCAGATCAACATATTTTTATTTCTTCCTCAAAATTAAACAAGTGAGGAAGAAAGTAACAGCAATGACCACATAAATACTATATGTTTTAAATGTAAGCATTGAATTTTAGATACATATGCAATTGACCTAACTCTGTTGAGGTACAGTAGGATGGTTACTTAGTATTCAAATTAACAGAGATTCCTTATTTTTTTCCCCTCAGTTGAAATGGGGAGAAGTCATAGTACATGCCTGTTCAGTTGATCAGGATCCTAAAGTAAATGTTATTTTGGTGGCTGTGCTACATAGATGAACTGTAATTGGTGATTTCAGCAAAAAGATATTTGGAAAGTTTCTGGAACTATTTTATTGATCACAGTTTCTATCCCATCAGGTCAATATAAGGTTTCGAGTAACATGCCTTATTTTTTCTTTTAGTTGTATTGATCTCTGTTAATGCAGGAGTGAATAAATCTTGTTCAATGATGGCTTTACAAAAAGTCTAGCATAACAGTGGTACATTTAAAATTATATTTTTAAAAACTCCACCCATGTTGAATATAGTTACAAAATAAGAAAAGAATGACCTTTACAGGAAGGAAAATGAAAATATTGTGCACAATACCCAATAAGTATATATTTGCAATATATATCATCATATTACTCCCAGTTTAAAACTTCAGTGTTTCCCCAAAGCACTTAAAAAAATTCTTGCCACTCCAGTCCTACCTGATCAGATTTCTGTTTTTCTTTCCGATTCATCTCATGCTCCCTTCCCCTCCTTCACTGCACACCTGCCACTCTGGCCTTCTTTCTTCTGCTTGCATATTCTAAGTCCAGGACTTATTTGCTGTTCCTGAATGCTCCTCCTAGAGCTTTCCTTTTTATCATTCATCATATCACATCTCCAGAGAGGCCTTCTCTGACCACCTCTACTGAGAGTCCCTCCATCTGACCCTACCATCACTCTAATATGTTACTTTTTTATTTTGTGTCATTCTTGCTCTCTAAAGTGATCTTTTAAGTATTTGCTATTTACTTACAAGTTCTTTGCTCTTAGGGACATTTTCTGTCTTGTTCACTGCTAAATTCTATGGCACACAGTAAATAGTGAAATATTCATTGAATGGCTTTTCTAGGTATGTGAATAAAGTTATAAGAAATTCTTCAGTTGCTTTTGAGGGCAAATGAGTAAGATGTTCAATTCGAATCAGTTAGTAAGGAAAAACTTTTATCATTGGGAAATTACATAACTAGGAATTCCTAAGAAAAATGTTAGGTGACCTTGGAGCAAAAACAATGTTTAGGCTCCCTTTTATCCTCTGAGACTTCATACAGTGGAACTTGTTGGGGTATTTTTTTTTTGTTGTTGTTGTTGTTTTGTTTTTTGTTTTTTTACTTAAAGTTCTGTAAGTTTTCTAAATAGTAGAAATACTTATAATAAAGTAAAAGTACATAGAAATTGTTCTAAAGAGAAATATACACAAACTTGATGCATTCTTTGTTGGAATTGTCCTAAAGGTGAAATTGCCCTAAAATGAAGTTTTTCAATAGAAAAAAAATAATTATATCTCTTGGATAAAGTCAAACATAACATTTTAATTGCAGAATATATTTTACAACACCCTGCTCAGCTGTTTAAATCCAGTTATTACTACTTCTTCCAAATACCACGGTTCCCAGAATTCATGTTCTCAATAAATGATTTCAAGGTAAGTCAACCAAATAATGCATTATTGTTATTAATGAAAAATATTTTTAGTGAAAGTCCATCTTTAAGAATGAAAAATTAAATAAAAATGATAAAACAATGAATTGTTTTAAGGACTTTTCTATAGGCTTTTTTATTTTTATAGTCTCTTTATATATTTGATTGTCTGGCTGTTGTTCATTTTGTGTGTGTGTGTGTGTGTGTGTGTGTGTGTGTGTGAGAGCTTGTACTCCTCAGGCATATCTCTTTTTAGAGAACATCTCATGGGGAGGCGAAGGACTATGAATACCATCTGAGAAAGTTTGACAGCAGCAGAAGTAGAAACCCTTGGGAATAAACAAATCCCCTAAACAAACTAAGTATGCAGATATAGACATATACCATGAACACTGATATGCAGATATCTTAGAACCTTATTGAATGCTGATATATCCAAAATTGTGTTAGATATTGAGTAAGTTAAAGAAAAAAAGACAACATTTTACTGAAAATAATTCTGTGTATATCTTTGAAAGATAAGTAGTTGGGGGTGGCGAGGGGGGGCAGGGGATTGAACCCAGAGCCTTGCACATGCTAAGCACATGCTCTACCAAGCATAAGCCCAACCCCATTATTAGGTTTCTATCAAACCTAATAAAGAATGACAACTGCTTAATATCATTTAATACCTATTCAAATTTCTTTAATGATTTTAACTGTCTTGATATACCTCATTTGTTTGAATCAGAAACCAAACAAGGTCCACACATTCTGTTTGGTGATTTTGCCCTTTTTCCCCCTTATTTTTATGTTTTAATTGAGACAGGGTCTTGCTGTGCTGCTCAGGTTGGTCTGGAACTTCTGGGTTCAAGTGATCTTCCTGCCTCAATCCCTCGAGTAGCTGGGACTATATGCATGTGCCACTGCACCTGGATGTTATGGCCTTTGAAATGTATTAGAGTTCCTTTTTTCTTTTTCTTTTTTAATACCAGTTATTTATTGAAGAACTTGGAGTATTCATCCTAGGGAAAGATCTACATTTTGGATTTGACTAATTGTTTCATCATAGTGGTATTTCATGTTCTCTAACCTTTCTCTCCCTACTTCATAGGTGCTGCTGATACAGAGGTTTAACTGGATTGAATTTTAATTTGATAAGAAACTTAATAGGTTGTGCTGTGTGTTTTCTAACATGTCACCTCAGGGATGCAGATAATGTCCAGTTGCCCTGATTTCAATAATACTAACACTGATCAGTAGGCTCACGCATTGTCTTCAACCTATCCAAAATTTCCTGAAAACCTTTCACCAAATGAAGCTTAGCATGCATTGATGATGACAGTCTGGATTTATTGTTTCAATATGATGTGCAAAACATTGATTTTCTAATCATTCTTTGTGCTTTACTAAACCAGAATTCCATAAAGAATTTTACATCTTCTATTTTATTATTCTTAAATAGAGTTCACACAACAATGTCAGGATAAATGCCTTATTCTTTTATTAAACAACTTTCAGTGTAATCAGTGTATATTTGTTATGTACCAATCAATCACAGTTGTTATGTCTTTTCTTGATACTCTGATTGTCCTATAGTAGGCAAGTGGGAACCCTTGTGTCCCTTAAACTAGTGTCAGTACTTAAATGTTCAGGAACATTTGACCTTAATATATTAGACTTACTTCTTATTTTCTGCCCTAGATCTGGAACCAGATATTTATCCAAGGTATTTTAGTGCCTTTTAGTAGGAAGCAGTATTTAGATTCCAAAATCTGGGTGTCAAGGTGATCATTGTTACTGGGTTGTCATTGCTTCTAGGTTTTCCCATTGCACAGAATTTGGACATACAGATTCATAAATCACAAGTTCTTATTTGTATTCCCAAGGTAAATTTAAGATGACAGAGTTTTTACTTAACTTCTTTGATTTTATGTAAAACATTTCTGAAACAAAGTACATTCAGAGAGGGCTTGTTTGTCTCTGTCCCCTCTACCTCATTTCACCCTTCTCCCAGAGGAAACCATTTTGTTTGGTTTGGTTTTATCTTTCTGCTGTTTTTGTTTGTTTGTTTGTTGTACCACAGATTGAATGCAGGAGCACTTAACCACTAAACCACACCCCCAGCACTTTTTATTTTTATTTTGAAACAGGATCTCACTAAGTTGCTGAAGGCCTTGCTAAATTGTTGATACTGGCTTTGAATTTGCAGTCTTTCTGCCTCAGCCTCCCAAGCCACTGAAATTATAGGTGTGTGCTACCATAACTAGCTCTGCCATTTCATTTTTTTTCTAAAAAAAGCAAATAGGTATCCATTTGTCTCCCCCTTCTTACATAAAAATAGTATATCTTTTACACAAAAGATAAATACCATATTCTACCCTATTTTTTTCAACTGAATACAATATTCTGGCAATCAATCCTTATAAGTATAGAGAGATTGTCTCCACCTTTTCTTGGAATACTAAGAATACATAGTATACCACTCTGGGGCTATACCATAGTTTATTCAACCAGTACCCCATTGATGAACTTTTGATTGTTTCCAGTCATTTTCTGTAACAAATAATGTTGTAGTTAATCTTCATACATATGTCATTTTCATAATTTTGTAAGTGTGTTTTGGGGTTGAAATTTTTGCATTTTAAACAAGTCTTTCAGTTATTCTGATGCAGGAGGTTTAGATCCATACTTTGAGAAATGCTGATATAAAGCAGTATTTTTCAAAATGCAGGTGGGGACCCATTAGTGAGTCATGAAATCAATTTAGGAGCTTGCAACTAGAATGCAACTGGAATGTTTAAAAATTTATAACAGAATTTAATTGAGAATGTCATTGTATATTATAAGATTAAGGACTGTTTCTTTAAACTTTTGTTTTATATATTGCATATATTTCTGAAACTTATTTGAACTGAATCATGATGTAAAAATGCATTTGTTACTCTGGTATGGTCATAAAAGTTTGAACAACTTTGTAGGGGAAGAGATTGGTTGTCAGTAAACAATATCTACAATATTAAGGAAGGCTTTTTGGTAGGGGAAGCACTTGAGCTGGGCCTTATAAAATATAAACAGACACCATGAAGACAAGACACTTATTGTAAGATTGCAAAGGAGATTAAAAGGGAAGAATATAAAAAATAAAGCAAGGAAAACAGAAATGCATAGAATGTCTTTCTAAACAATGAGGTATCAAACCTGACTAAAGCTGAAATTAGAAGTTGTCATTGCTATCCAATTTTAAAGTCAATGTTTTAGTTTATTACTAGATAACTGAATAGTTTTAATTATTCTCTTTCCACTTAAATTAGGCATTGAAACACCTATTTACTAGTCAAAGCACTGGAATTGGGAGAAAAGGGTGTCGATTAACAACAGAAGATCTTGAAGCTTATATTTATGTCTTTTCTCAGCCTGGAGCATTAAGTGGTCCAATTAACCATTACCGAAATATTTTCAGGTTAGTATAATTTCTTTTTGTTTAAGTAAAATATTTCAGTCTGATCCTAAAGAGAAAATATTTTATTTTTAATATTTAGTTCACCCTTTATCCAAAGAGTCAAATTCAGAATTCTGATTTTTTAATAGCTGCGTAATCTTTTTTATGAAAAACTTCAAACTTATGGAAAACAATATAATAGATAATAGATAAAATAACATAATAGGTCCTCCATGTAGCTGTCACTTGTCTTATCCATAAAATTTTAAGAAATATTTTTTTCAGTGCTGAGGATTGAACCCACTGAACTACAACCCAACACTTTTCATTGATTTTGAGACAGGGTCTTGCTAAGTCACCAAGGCTGGTCTCAAACTTGTAATCCTCCTGCTTTGGGCTCCTGAGTTGCTGGGATTACAGGCGTGCAACACTGAGCCCAGCTCAGCACTTTATATTTCTAGGTTATGTTAGTACTCAAGATACAGTTAGTACTTAAGAAACACTGATGACCAAAACTAGATAAGGTTCCTGATTTCACAAAAGTTGTAGCATTGTGGGAAAATAGACATTAAGCAAGTAGTCACAGCAATTCAATGCATGGTCATAAATTAACAGGTTTTGATAGAGATGAGAACTTAGAAAATGGGGCATGAACAAAAAGTAAAGGGTGATTTAGACGTTGATTAGACAAGGTTAAGGGCAGGAGGAATTCTACTAAAAAGCATGGACCAAAAGAAAAAGAAAAAGCATGGACCAAAGCCATATAGACAGATTCAGTGTTGTGGCTTCAAGTGATACAATTAAAGTCAATTTGGCTGGAGCACAGAAAGCAGGGGTGCAGAGAAAAGCATGGAATAAGGGTGGGCCCAAAGGTAATTAGCAGCTGGCCATGCAGAGAGTCAAGTAGGACACATCAAGGATTTAAGATTACGCATGTGAAGCCAATGGAAGAGAGTTTTAAGCAGAAAAGAGAAATGACCCAATGTGTATTTGGATAAGTTCACTCAGGCCATTATATGGGAGAATATATTGGAGGAGATTCAGAGTGAACATAGGGAAACCATAACAGTTCAGGCTAAAGATGATGGTAGCTTGAACTAATCTGAAAACAGTGGAGAAGAGGAGAGAGTAGGTAGATTTGAGAGATATTTAAGAAGTAAATTAGGAAAGGGGTTGGTGATGGGTTAGACGGAATGGGATGAAGAAGGATCTCCAAGATGGCCCTGGATTTCTGGCATGCACTTCTGTATGGATAGCCATGCTATTTGCTGAGATAGAAAACACTAGAAGAAGAATATTTTTGAGGGAAGGTCATGAAATTTATTGATCACTGGCTGAGCTTAAGGTAATACTTTGGATATTCAAATAGGTAGTTGGATATTAAGGTGTGGAACTCAGGAGAATATCTGGAATAAAGATACAATAAAAGCTGGGAATCACTGACAAAAATAACTGAAGCTTTGGTTTCAGAAGACATTTTCTAGGGAAAAAATAGTGTAGAAGAGAAGAGATGGAGCTTTAGATTTGAACTCTAACCAGGAGAAAAAGATTTTTCTTGAGAATTAGCAAACTGTTTACAACCTGCTTAAGGAGGTGTAGGATTCTGAATTTATTCTACCTCTGTAATACTGGAAATCCAGGGGCAGGAAGTATATTTTGACATAGTCTTAATCTGTTAACAATTCCTAGGAAACCTGGCAGAAAAATCGACAAAACCTTTCCACCTTCAGACCTTAAGATACTGTCACAGATAAAGTCCCCTGAAGATGAATTTATGATCCAAATTACAAAAACCGCCCAATAATACCAATCCACCAATGATGAGAATCATAATATAATTGCAGCAGAACCCCTGTAAATTTCAAATAATAGAACTAATAGAAACTATAACGTGTGTGTGTGTGTGTGTGTGTGTGTGTGTACTGGTATTGGGGATTGAACCCAGGGGTGCTTTACCTCTGAGCTACTTCCTCAGTCCTTTTTATTTTTATTTTTTAGAAGGACAAAATGTTTTATTTTAAAACACTGGAAAAACATTAAAAGACAAATTTCTATTATGTAACCAGGAATGTTAAATATATGGAAATTGTAAATCTTCCAAATGTGGTGGGCATTTCCAAAGAACTAAAAGTTGCAAATTATTCTACATTTTTCTCTAATAACAACATATAATGGTATAATGGAAATTACCACAGCCTTACTAATTATTTCAAGTCGACACCTTTGGCTTCAATTTAATTACACAAATAAAGTTTTGTCCAAGTTGGTCCTGACCCATGAAACTTCCAGTTGAATTTCAGAAATGTTAACAAAAGTACCTTCTTTCTTGCCTGTGAATGTCTGGGTATTGCAGTATTGTTGGTTTATGTCCACTGCAGACACTGGTTCTAAGCCAGCGCAAGGGTCTTCAAGCATTGAAGGCTTGAAATAACTCATTAGACATTTTTTTTTTCTCTACTACACCCTGATCCAAATTGTGTGGGTATCTTTGGAGAACCCTGGGGGTGGGTTTGCACCTGCTCTGAGGAGTAGCAAAAGACTGCTGGGGCCCTCGCAGGAGCTTGGAGCAGGAGTCAGGTTGGCTGCTATGGGACAGAGACCTGAACAGACCCTGAGAAGCTGTTGCCCTGTTGCCTAAGAGTGGCTGCTTCAGTAGGGCCTAGACTGGTGCCCATAAGGTGGCATGTTGTCTGCCCCCTCCTGGGGTACCCCAGGGGTCGGTCCCACAACCCCAACCTCCTACAACTAGGACTGGGTAAGAAGGAGTTGGAGGTGGAAAATTTAGTAGGTGCACATCAGGAACCAACGCTGAAGACCTCACTGCTGCGTTCTCTCATTGAAACTGCCCTCATTTTAAATTTTAAGACAGGGTCTCACTAAGTTGCTGAGGATCTCTTTAAATTGCTGAGGCTGGCCTCGAACTTTCGATCCCCCTGCCTCAGCCTCCCAAGTTACTGGGATTATAGGTGTGTGCCACTGCACCTGGACCTATAAAATATATTTAAATCACTATATGAAAGAATTAAAAAACAAGGGGCTGGGGTTGTGTCTCAGTGATAGAACACTTGCCTAGTATGTGCGAGGCACTGGGTTCAATTCTCAACACTGCATATAAATAAATAAATAAAATTAAGGCTTATCAACATCTAAAAAAATTTTTAAAAATAAACAAGGAAAATCAGGCATAGTGGCACCCACCTTTAATTCTGGGTACTCATGAGACTGAGGCAGGAGGATCACAAGTTGGAGTCCAGTCTCAGCAATGAGACCCTATCTCAAAATAACAAATATAAGGACTGGGAATATACTCATTATAGAGCAACCCTGGGTTCAGTCCCCAGTACTAATAAGAGAGAGAGAGAGAGAGAGAGAGAGAGAGAGAGAGAGAGAGAGAGAAACAGAATAAGATCAAAGCAGACTAGAAGTAGTTGGGGGAAAACCTGAAATAGCTTCTAGAAAATGAAAATTATGGTTATTGAAATCTTAAAGTCCATAAGTGAATTAAATAGCCAATCACATAAGCTAAAGAGAATTACAAGTTGGAAGTTAGAGCTGAAAAATTTACTCAGCATGTGGCTTGGAGAGACAAAGCTATTAAATATATATATATATATATATATATAAATAACAGGTTGTAAACTCTAGCCAAAGCAATCAGACAGACAAAAGAAATTAAAGGGATACAGATAGGAAAAGAAGAACTCAAATTATCACTATTTGCAGACACTATGATTCTATACCTAGAAGACCCAAAACATTCCACCAGAAAAATCTCCTAGAACTAATAAATGAATTCAGCAAAGTAGCTGGATATAAAATCAACACCCATAAATCAAAGGCATTTCTGTACATCAGTGACAAATCCGCTGAAAGTGAAACTAGGAAAACCACCCCATTTACAATAGTCTCAAAAATAAATAAATAAATAAAATACTTGGGAATAAATTTAGTGAAAGAGGTGAAAGATATCTACAATGAAAACTACAACATGCTAAAGAAAGAAATTAAAGAAGACCTTAGAAGATGGAAAGATCTACCTTGTTCTTAGATAGGCAGAATTAATATGTCAAAATGACCATACTACCAAAAGGACTATATTCAATGCAATCCCAATTAAAATCCCAATGGCATTCCTTATAGAAATAAGAAAGCAATCATGAAATTCATCTGGAAACAATACTCAGAATAGCCAAAGCAATCCTTAGTAAGAAGAATGAAGCAGGTGGCATTACTACTCCAGACCTAAATCTATACTACAGAGAAATAGTTACTAAAACAGCATGGTATTGGCACCAAAATAGACATGTAGACTAGTGGTACAGAATAGAGGACACAGAGTCTAACCCACATAACTTCAGTTATCTTGTATTAGCAAAAGTGCCAAAAATGTACATTGGAGAAAAGATAGTCTCTTCAACAAATGGTGCTGGGAAAACTGGAAATCCACATGTAACAAAATGAAATTTAACCTCTATCTCTCACCATGCACAAAACTCAGCTCAAAGTAGATCAAGGACCTAGGAATTAAACCAGAGACCTAATCTAAGTAGGCCCAAATCTCCATCATGTCAGATAAGATCAACTTTCTTAATAAATCTCCTGTAGCACAAGAATTAAAACCAAGAATCAATAAATGGGATGGATTCAAACTAAAAAGCTTCTTCTCAGCAAAAGAAACAATCAGTGAGGTGAATATAGCCTACAGAATGGGAGCAAATCTTTACCACAAGCACATCAGATAGAGCACCAATCTCTAGGATATATAAAGCACTCAAAAATCTTAACACCCAAAAAACAAATAACCCAATCAATAAATGGGCCAATTGCTGGTGGGAATGCAAATTGGTGTAGCCAATCTGGAAAGCAGTGTAAATATTCCTTGGAAAACTGGGAATAGAATCACCATTTGACCCAACTATCCCACTCCTCGGTTTATACCCAAAGGACTTAAAAACAGCATACTACAGGGGCACAGCCATATCAATGTTTATAGCAGTACAATTCACAATAGCTAAACTCTG